GAGAGAGAAAAAAGAGTGTGCTGGCACATGGCCTCCCCCCCCGATTCCCATGGCCACTGAATTCTTCCTGCCATCTTTATCTCCAGCAACCGAGTACAGCAGATCAGCAAAGGAAAGAGGGGTCAGCCTATAAAAAGCACTCACTTAAAACACTTCATTAACTATTTAGTCTCTTCATATTACATATTCCAGTAAAAAAACATCTAAGCACGCATCTATAAATATATATTTAAGCACACACAGCTTTATCATATACACAAGCTAAAATACATCAGGGGCTGGTGAACTGCCTTAGGAACGGTTTGATTCCCTCTTCAGACCGAATAAAAATACATCATCATCAAGTATTTAGCACACAAGAACCGAGTCCCCCTTTAAAGGAGCTATACTCAGGCCACCATTGCCGGCCTGATCACATGAGATGGCAGACAACTACACAGAGAAAAAAAACACTTATTTTAGATCTTAGCACCTCCCAGAACAGGTAATTCAAATACTGTGGGATTATCGACGTCTGGGTTGAACTGGTAGTAGAACAAAGGTGCTCAAGTACCAGATCTGAAAGTGCTGCTAACCTATTCTTTTCAGCGACAAGCACCGCTACTTTTTAATAACCAAAGCAAGGCAACAGACTAAATCTCCTGTCACACACAGGAAAGGAAATTGTACTGAGAAACCACTACAGTTGGATCTTATATATGTAATATTTGTCATGTCTTTACAAATATGAAAAGGCTATTAGTGCACACGATTCACACAAAAAGTTTTTTTTTCTGTACAATTCGGTCAAATTTAGACCAAATAATATATATGAAAATGTTTTCTCAAAAGTGCATATTAAGACACTCAAAGGGCCTCGCAAAATTTATTAACGGTCAACTGAACTGCTTTATTATAGTGTTAATGCCTTTCCAAAGATGAAAATGCTATTAATGTATACAATTCACAAAAAAAAAAAAATTCTGTATAATTCGGACAAATTACTTTCCTGTCACAAGCAGCAAAGGAAACGGTAAAGTAAAACCACCACAGATGGACTTTATGCTGCATATCTAACATTCTTCATGTTTTTACAAATATGAAAAGGCTATTAATGTACACAAATCACAATTTTTTTCTTTTACTGTACAATTTCCTCAAATATAGAGCAAATAATGGTCACACTTTATTTAAGGTCCAGTTCTCACTATTAACTATGACTTTTGCCTCAATAAACTCCCAATTTGCGGTTTATTAATATTTAGTAAGGTAGCTGTTAAGTTTAGGTATGGGGTAAGATTAAGAGATCTAAAACACAGTCATGCTAAATAAGGCATTAATAAATGCTTTATAAGTACTAATAAACAGCCAACATGTTAGTAATATGCATGCTACTTAAAGGGATACTCCACCCCAAAATGAAAATTTTGTCATTAATCATTTACCCCCATGTCGTTCCAAACCCGTAAAAGCTTCGTTCGTCTTCGGAACACAATTTAAGATATTTTGGATGAAAACCGGGAGGCTTGTGACTGTCCCATTCACTGCCAAGTAAATTACACTGTCAAGGTCCAGAAAAGTATTTAAGACATCGTCAGAATAGTCCATCTGCCATCAGTGGTTCAACCGCAACGTTATGAAGCGACGAGAATACTTTTTGTATGCGAAGAAAACAAAAATAACGAATCTATAACGAAAATTATTTTTATTTAAAAATAAAGCATCACCATAGCGCCATTTTGGAGATTATGCGCTGAACGCAAGCAGCGTACGCTCTTCTGTGTCAGCCGCGACACAAGGCGCATAATCTCCAAAATGGCGCTACGGTGATGCGGAGAGACACAGAGGAGACAAATTGTTGAATAAAGTCGTTATTTCCAAAATAAAATCTTAAAAATAAAAATAAAAAAATCAAAGGGCCTCGCAGAATTTATTATCAGTCTAAACTGTGAAATTAGACAAATACAAGAGTCAATTGAAGTGCTTTACTTTGAGGCTAAATTTGGAGAGACCACATGCAAATGTGTGTGTTGTTTTGGGGCCTCATATATAGTTGGCTTGGTTTTGAAGTGGTCAGGATCTGAGTCTGTGTGAATGTGTGGGGTGGGCTCCACAGAGACGCTGTTGTTCTATTCATCTTTCATGTCAGCTTGATAATTGTTCCTTAAATGATGTGTTATTACATATCCAAAAATTGTTTTTTGTTGCATAATTTATTATCGATCTAAACTGTGAAATAATAAAAATACAAGAGTCAATTTAAGTGCTTCACTATATTCTTTATGAATCTGAAAAAGCTACTAATTTTCACAAAAGCGTTTTTATTTTTATTTTTGTAAAATTTCGGTCAAATTCAGACCAAATGTTTTTGGTTCCCTCAAAGTGCAAATCAAAAACAGTCAAAGGCAGTGCGCCGACATGTAGCGCCGTTGTGCTTCGGGCATCCCTGTCAGTCAGACAGTTATTATTAAAACAGTCAAAATACAGGTGCTCCGTGCTCGATTCATTAAGTGATGTTTAATGAAAACACTCCATCTGCAAGTGATGAATCTCCTTAAAAATATTCAAATGCAAATATCATGCATCATCCCTGTTCTCGTCCAATAAATTATTAACCAAGATTACAAGTTATCTGTTAATTATCTATTAGAGTAAGAAAAGTGGATGATGGCACATCCAACTATGAGTATAACGTCTGGCAGCCTAATCTGCTAAAACTCTTCACAGGCGTACAGTAGAAGATCTCAAAGATATAGCAGCACCATTCATACAGTAACCACACAGAGAAACCGAAAACGCAACAGATTATGCTTATATGGTGTTTAGGTACACAGTGTACCACAGCCTGCCCATGTGCCCCTCATTAAAGATATCAAACACATTTTAAAGGCATCACAGGGGCCCAACACAGGTCCAGACAAGAGACTCTGCTCACATCTTGATGGTGGCAGAACTGCCTGCGTCAATCGCTAATCTCTCCACATTGACGCACGAAAACTCGGGACCACACACCAAGTGAGGTACACCTACACCTCACCTGCATTCGCAGACCTCAGAGCCACGTGGTGACAGGAGGAGGCAGGTGACACTGGCAAACAAAAAGCTGGGGATATTTGAGACGAAAAGGTCTGTTTGGAGTCACAGGGAAATTATAATTAAGATGACTTTATTCCACTGTCTGGTGTGGTTTTTGCAGGGTAATATGAGACATCTGATTCACATCGAGGCATCAATTAAGCAGTGAAGTTAATCAGAACAAAACAAGAAATGAACTCATTTAAAACATTCTGAAAAATAAGATTTGAATAGAAAAGACACAAAAGTAGCAAGAGAGAAAACAAGTTGATAAAGAGCGTCCATGACATCATCAAAGCCTGAACTAGCTGATGCCAGTTCTTATCAGCCTGGGAGACAGATAGATAGAGAGAGAGAGAGAGAGAGAGAGAGAGAGGAGGGAGCGAGGGAGAGCATTGAAAATTTAGTCACCACATCAGAATATGCCCAGCTGTGTGTGTGGTCCTTTTATGTTCAACACTATATGTCTGAACCCTAATTGAATAAACGATTTTCCTAGAACACAACATAATCAAACAGCAAAACATCTGACATGCAACGAGTCTGGCAATGTTTTGACTATTACAGATTAATGATACACAAAAGCTGAATAGCATCTCAAAGCATACCGCAACACATGCACATATATAGTATTCTACATTTTGCTTTAATTTACGTTTATATTAGCATCTTTGACAAAAAAATATTTTAACATGAACGTTATTTATTAAAAATATGAAAAATCTTCTATACTTTTAACGTAGAAAACCTAATCGATCTAAAAAGCTCGTTTTCATGTTATTATCGAATGATATCGATTTTTAAATGACTCGGAATGCTTATGAAGATTTATAAATGGTTACTGGTAAGAGGAAATTTAAAGTTCGTTCGGAAAATAGGTCAGCGATTTTTTTTTTTTTGCTAAGCTTTGCGACCTCAGTTCATAAATACATAAACTCGTAATCAATAATTTATATAATCATGGGTCTGTTGTTTAAGCCTAACCAAACGCGACAAATGCACTTCATACTCCTACAACAAGAACACTACAAATAACTAAAGATTTCTGACTTTGACAACTAATCAATTTTAAAAACTAATACCACAACATTAAACCAAAACAACTGCAGAGCAAACAGAATCTTTACGTTCCCACCTGCGTTTAAACGCTCATTTGATCCATATTTCTGTAGAACGATTTAAACACAAGTTAACGTTATATATGTGAAGAAAAAAACAAGACAAGAGTGAAATGGCATTAATTTGTTGTAATGAGCCATTTAGTCAGGCTCTGTAACTGAATAACGAAATAAACCGTCTTTTCTAGAGTCTTATATCTATATTTTCCACACAAAAAAAACGTTCATCTGTTCGTGTTTGTTTATTGTTTTGTGTTTAATTGTTCCTGTCTGGCTCAGGTTTAGCAGCCAATTCCGTCTTCACTTTAAACTTACCTACTAAGCTGAACTTTGCGTTTGCTAACTTCATAAACTTCTAAAGTCACATAAAAAGTGCTAGTAAACAATAAACGAGGTGAAATCTAAAAAGGAAGGCAGTCTAAGTCCTCTCTCGTTACTAAGCAATAACGTCTCGGTCCAGCACAGCGCCACCCGTGTAGCGCGACACACTTCTAAACACAAAATTATTTCAACAAACATACTATCTAAATCTCTTCGGCAAAAACTATTCCCAAAACATCCCGGAGATGGAAAGGAGCGGGAAAGAATCGGGAAACCTAAGGGCTCCCGTTGCCAAAGTGGCCGCATCCACCTTGACCGTGATGGTTGATCGATGGGAATTGAACAAAGAGGATCAATTTCCGATCAGCGCGAGAGCCGCTTTAATCAATGGGCACCGAACCCGGCGAAAGAGCCGACGCGAGAGCAACGCGCCGGCCTCTCAGCGCGACGCTCCTCGGGACTGGCTCACCGGTACACACCGCGAGTACAAAGCGAAAGGAAGCTGACCTGGAGCTGCTGCAAATCAAAGCGTTTCCAATATTGAAACATCGATCCCGCATTGGCCGCCATCTTGAGACATATTGAGACGGAATGAAAGGCTGATAGAGAGAGCGCGAGAGGGGCTGGAGTTCAGCGAGAGAGAGAGCGCGAGCGAGAGAGTGAGAGGCGGGGGAGCGCGCGCAAAACACGGAGCGGAGCAGATCGAACGGCGCGGGCGCGCGAGGAACGGAGTTATCGAACGAACGCCGACCTGCGATATTGAATAGGAAGGACTACTGAAAACAATTATTGAGAGCGTCCTCAATAAAAGGCAGAAAACGCGGGATGGAGTTTCCGCGTTGAGTCGAGCTCCCCGTGGTGCAGGAGCGGGAGGGGGATGCTGGATACGTTTTCATCCGTTAAAAGAAGAGAGTTTATACGGTTATTGATTTTTTTATTATCACTATAGATAGATATTACGAGACGCTGATCAGATCTGACGCGATCATGCGAGCAACGCGCCGCTTGAGTGGTTTTAGGTTTCTCATGGTCAGATGAAGAACCTTCTGGCCTGTTGTTGTGATCGTACACCCGATATATTGATTTCTGATTTGTTTTTATTTTTAATCCTATTGAAAATATATCGTATGTTCTTGCGTGTACGCAGTTGTCTTATAATGTTTTTGCTGTTGGTCGTCTACATGTCCAGCTACCCTCTGTTTGTACTCAAAAACCAATACATATATTATATTGATTTTATGGGCATTCTTGCGTGAAGAACGTGGATACGGAGATCGATAGCTTAAATAAAATGAAACACAATCTAACCGTTCTCCATATAAATACTGCATGAAGCGATATGCATTTTAAATGGTTATGGACGGTGTTTAAGATGGTGGCATTAGATGATTTGATGTTATAACGTAAACCCTTGTCCGGTCGATTCCTGATGAATTGTAAATACTGCTTTGGAACTTGAACTTGGAGAGCAGCGACCTCTATTGGATGTGTGTAGTATCGTCTCACCTCATTGTTTATGATACATGGTGATGATCCAAAGTAATCGTATTAATTGTCACAATTAATGATGATAACAAATCATTGTTTAGCCAACAGTGTTAATTGCTGGACAGTGATTACGATGATTACATAAATACATAATTTATTAAGTAAAATTATTAATATTATTATTATTATAAAATTAGTGGTAAAAAATTAAATACTACTTAGCTAGTGATTATACTATTAAATTATTTTAGAATTGCAATTATTTTAAAAGTACACACACACACACACACACAATTAAAAAAATTAGAATTACAATTCTAAAATAATTTAATAGGTTAATATAATTTAATATATATTAAATAATTATTTATATATATATATATATATACATGCATGCATACATACATACATACAATTAGTGATGTTAAAACATGAAACTGATTATGCTAATTTCAAAATACATTACTTATTTAGTAAAACTAAATATGATTATTTTTGCATTGTGTGTGTGTGTGTGTGAACTGTGCACACAAACACATATATAATAAAATATTAATATTAGATGTTCTTTAACTCTTTCTCATATGTGTGTGTATGTGTGTTCGTCCAAAGTTAATATTCTGTAGTGATTATTTTGCTCTTTTATCGTTTAAAGGTAATACGCTTAATACACTGTCAAAAATGGTGGAAACAATGTATAGAAACCATCAATTTTCCCATCCATTTACTTGTCACAATAATAATATTGGTCATTTCTACTTGCTTTTATAAGCTTTCAACTCAATTTCAATACAGGTTGTCACTTTGACCACTTTGATTGTAATTCAACTTTATTGTCATCGTGCAAAGTCCACAACAAATAAAATACAGTTAGCATCTAACATGTGCTTAAACAGTAAAACAACATTTAAATAAGAATTGCGTTAAATAAGAAAACCGCAGAATGTACCAAAGTGCTGTACTATACAATATAGTACAAAAATACAAAAGAAAAGAACAACAATACAGTTAAATACAATAATAGAAAAACATATATCTAATCTTATTAGAAAAAGAGATTAAAACAATTTTTTTTTTTTTTTTTTTAATCTAAAAACATTTTGTGGTACCATGCAAAAAAAAAAGAGTATGTATAAGTACACCAGAATTTATGTAAGAAAGTCAACAATGATCATTTTAACCTTAATTTATACCACCAGATTCCTGAGTCACCAGTTCCATGAGTTTGGTTCATCTGTAGAGCAGCCCTGATTCTCACCCTCACCACCGCACACAGACACTTAAAGAGAGAGGATGGGGGGTTCAGTTCAGACCCCGCAGGGTGGAGTGAGAATTGGAAGCTGGGAGAGTCCCATGGCTCCTCATAAGTGCTCCTCCCCTCGGTTCCCCTCACTGAGACAGCAGGGGAGCTGCGCAGGAGAGCCGGTCCCACTGGCGGTTTGTTTTTTCAGGCCCACTGGAGCCTCTGAGCACCCAGCCCCCCCTCTCTCCACCCAGGCGTGCACACACCTCATGGGAGCACAATTAAGAGCTATCTCTCCTGCCTGCCGAGCTGTGGAGGACTCCCTCCTCTACCCTTCCCCTTTTTTAATCAAATAAGCCTCCTCTTGAGGCTAGTCCTCGTTTAAAAAGTCGGCATGCAGGATTAGATTTTAATTATGGAGATGCAAAGACATGGCAAATGAACATAATGAAGAGACAAGCAGAGATGTGAGGAGGGCATTGTTCTGGTGATGTGTGTACATGACTGTTTCCACATGCACACCTGAGCAGTGGACAGGTGTCTGATATTTAGTCATAAACAATAAATCATTACCACAAATACAACATTTGAAATGTAAATTGCTTGCGTATTGTGTAATATGTAAGTCTATGAAGTTCGAACTATAGTTGTGCAGGTAATATATTTTGTAGTGGAAGATTATAAAAACTCGTACAACTGGGTAAACTGCTCCATCTGCAGGCAAACAAACTACAACTGAATACTGTTATATTTTTAAGACAGATACTTCAAACTAAATATAAACTATACACATATATTATGTATATTTTTGATTTCATATTATCTATATTATTACTTAACAATATATAAAAATTTGCTGCAAAAAAAGAAGTAAAAATAAACAAATAAAACTACACTGTACACAAATAGAACTGCACTGTTATAAAAAATATATATAATTATGATAATTATGTATTTAATTACGTATATTACATATTTCAGCTAGTTGTTGTTTAGTTTAAGTTAAAGTACTAAAATAATTAAAACTAAATTGATTAAAACTGAAAGCTAAAACTTAATTAATAAACTATATAGACATTAAAAAATGATTTTAAAAAATCACAAATATAGACATTAAAAATGATAAAAATCACAATGTCCATAAACATTTTACCAGAGAGATCAAAACGTGGCCCAATTACCTCACTTTACCATAAAGAACAGTGAGAGAAACATCAAATATGACTAAAAATAAAGAGATCGATGGCAGTGTATCATCATCTCTGTGTTGTCATATTAAGCAGCATGCATTTACATGCCTGTCGAGGTGTGATGGAACCATATGTCTAATGTGATTGACAGTAAGAAGCAGCTGTAGGAAGCTGACACTTCCCCGCCAGGCTCCCCATCAGTTGTGTTATTGCTAGCACACATAAGCAGACCTTGACTCTTTCTCGCCCCCCACCTGCCAGTCACACACCTAACATGGGCACGCTCCCTGTCGTGACCACACACACACACACACACACACACATGCACAATGCCAAGCAGGAGATCACAGCGACATTCCAAACATCCCATGGTGCAGTTCTTCTCCACAGCTCTTTTGGCCAGTGTTCGTTCAGTTGTCTGCGAGGACACTGCTAAAACAAGCTTTACACAGCCTGCTGCCATGCCGGATAGCTAGACAGATTATTTACGGCAGTCTGACGGCACATTACTTGGCTGTTTGTAAGAGCACATTTAAATCTGGCAAGCATGGGTTGACTGGCTATATTTGTAGTGCTGAGAATGGCTTTTGTTCAGTCCGATTGTTCGCAACAGATAATGGGAGACAAAGTAGAAACAATTTGTTCATAAGAGTTGCATGGCAAATTAAAGCCAAGGGCTTGACTGCGCTCACATGTTAAGACGACTGCATTCAAATGGACGAGTTCCATATGTGTATGTTCCAATAATGTGCAATCATTTTGCCCTGTACATACAGATCAATCAATTAGAATTCACAACCTTCTTCATAAATAAAGGTTTTGAGAGAGAAGTCCAGCCTCACATATGTTTTGGTGTTGCTTGCATACACATGTATTTTCATTGCAATTAAATATTAAATGAAAATATGTCATTGTAATGATGCAATAATCAATTAGCCATGTAACAGCAGTTTCTCATTGTGACAGCTTACTATATAGTGTGACAATATATTACTCCACCACTGGGGCATGTTGTCACGAAAGGTCAGCATGTGTTTAATGGACTGTATCTTTATTCCTGGGCAATAATGGTTGAATAATTAAAAAAAAAAATTTTTTTATATATACATATATAGCAACATTTTGATGTAGCTATTTTTTTTAAATACAACAAATATTAATCGGAGTGTGACAACTAGCCCCAGTCTCACCCATGCAAACTGTCCAAAATGAAACACAAAAAAATTATAAATTACATACATGAAACCTATTAAAAATTGCAATTTCATTATGTATCCCATGCAAATATGTATGTTTATGTATGTTATGTCAGTGTTGGGAGTAACGCATTACAAAAGTAATAATATTACAGTAGTATATTACTTTTTGCTGTAACGCAGTAATATAACGCATTACTAATCAAATTTGGGTAATATTATTACTCGTTACAATCTCAGTAACGCAAGTTACACTCAAAAGTAACTCAAAAGTAGTGTAATGCATTACAATTCAGAGACAGTAATATTGTAATGTAACTAATTACTTTCAAAAGACAGTAACTAGTAATATATAATGTATTACATTTTGGAAGTAACTTGCCCAACACTGGTTATGTATATTACAGAAAGGGTATATATAAACATACAGAATTTTTTTTTTTTTTGCATATATGTTGTTTTAATAAAGTTGTATATATAAATAAAAGCATATATTGTTGACATTTATGATTGGTACACATAATACTATATAAAAATTATCATAGAAATATTATTAACATTACAAATTTGACTATGAGGATTTTATATGTTAACTATCTTCATCTACCCAGAGAATGTATGTATGTGAAAATTATATATTACCTTATAGGTAACCTATAGCCTATAGCAATATCATTCTTGATACAGGGCAATATATCATATATATTATATATTACATTTCTGTTATCTGTTACACTAGTTTTAGCATCCATCCAGAATGTCTGAAACTTTTTGCACTGGATGGAGCCTTGTTAGATTGTGGTCCTAAGCCTTGTCTGCTCTCTACGCCTCCTGGCTGTGAAAATCAGTCTTGTAAGCTGGTCAAAAGTGTCTCTACTGACCACCAATGTAACAAGGGCATCAAATCATTAAAGTAATCCATGTAGCGGAGACATAACATCAACATCTGACCAAACGCACTGATGTGAGAAACTAGCCGGCTTCACACCGTCTTTAAACGACACATTAGACGTGTAGATGAGTCTTAAGGGGTTAGGACGCTCCAAATGATCCCAAGATAGCAAAGCCCACAAACTCTGATCACATCACCTAGCATCTGTCTGTACCAATAACTGGGGGGTGCAAGGGCTGGGTGATTCTCTATATGGCAAGTATTCTTGTATTGTTCCTCCTCCTTTGTCTAAACATAGAACAGGTGGGCCGTCAAGCCAATTGTGCCAGTATATAGCTGGAAACCAACGATGTCTGAGTGTCCCTCAGGCTTTTGAGACCAAGAACAGAGTAAAGAGAAGCTCTTCACAATGGTAGGCCTGCATCTCTTTGCTTTTGGACTCTTTAACATGGAAATGCTGGTGCAAGTGAGCGGTGTTGTTCTTCAGACTGAGAGAATGTATTATTTTATGTTAAAAAGTACATCTATGGATGGATTTATATATTTGCATCTTTAAAATTAGTTTTGCTTCCATGTACCTTGATCTTT